GGCTAAGCACTACTCGAGCCGAGCTACATAGGATCTGTGGTAAATAATATCCGACAAGGAATGGGTAACCAATGCAGCCAAATGTTTGCGTCCAACACCTAAACTTAATGCAGCAATATATATATGTATATATGATATCTTTATGTTGCATTCGGGAATTAGAGGCTTAATATGTTCCGGCTTGCATTTCGCCAAGTTGCAAGGACGGTGGTCAGTGGGCACTCCCATCTAGCCGACCTTGTCTGGCACTTCTCCTACTCCTCGCTTCTCCCACCTCGGTACCGGTCGTCTGCCGCCTCGGGTTCTTCAATTCCAAATAGGTTACTCCTTCCGTACACCTATTGCATGTCGAAGCTGAAGATAAATATCATGGATGCATAAGGAATGAGTATGATGCTCATGATGAATGAATCCATGATGGGTGCTTAGAAAACATCATTTGGACACTTTTTGCCATTTCGGAGTAATTAGCTCTATGCAATTCACTTTAGCAGCATGCATCCAACTTAACTTAAATAACAAGAGCAACTTACCTAAATTTGCATAACCTAAGATAAAGATGCTCATCTTCAAAAGAAGAACTAACACTCCTAGGAACAAAAGCATTTGCTGAAACTTAGAATAGTAAAGACATACTTAAAATAATGAAGTTAAAGCTTCATATGCAACAAGTAGTAACTTAATTCTATCATAACCAGAGTTTTATAAATCCAAATGACTTGCAAGAGGACATTCTGGAAAGCTTATAAAATTCCTCTACAATTCATTTATAAACCTCAAGGCATGATTCTGAAGTTAACCAAATCAATTCCAGTAGACCTAGAATCTGTCCGTAATGACGGGTTGCTAACTTAATTATTTAATGATGGTAAAAAGCTACAATTTGACCAAACCAAGTTTACCAACTTGTTTTTCATATCTTAAAAATATCAGAAGGTAGGAAAATAACTTCTAAATAAAATTATTTAATATCCTTTCCCATTTATTTAGTTAATTAGGTGATTTAAGCTAAATATATAGTAAAACTATTCATAAAAATCTACAAAAATTACAGTAGCTATCTCATGCTGCACATAGGCTACCATAAAAAATTTTAAAGCCATTGGACCAACATAACTTGTCTGTATCCAAAATAATGATGACATGTCTATTTCAGCATAATTAGGAAACTTTATTAAAAAGTGTCAAGCAACAGATTTCCTATTTTTCCTAGCATCCTTCTAGCATAAGAATAGCAATTCCATAAAATTTCACCTTCACTGGATCTATAGAAAATTATGAAAATTCACACAAGATCTACTTATTAATAAAAGGAAATTCTATAACTTAAAACTATACATGTACCTAGCTCTACAATTTTACCAGAGCTTCACATCAGTAATAACAGACTGCCCACAAAATTTCATAATTTTTGACCCACGAAACTCAAGATAAAATTCAAACAAGTTTGCATGCTTCTAAAAACACATTTCAAACTCCTATTTAATTCATCCAAGTTTTCTAACACATGTGCTCATATTATATTTTTTATTAAGTACTAGACATGACCAGGAACTTAACAAAATTAGAACCATAGCTTTTGGATCTATATACTAGAAATACATATTTTTAGAATCATGCACATAAATCTGTGAAAAACAAATAAACAAAACAAATAAGAAAATGCAAGCTGTGGGAGCCGCCCGGTCGGATACACGGCCCATTACCCAGATCACGTTAGTCGCGGCCAAGACGATCATACGCCCAAGTGTGCTCCCGCCTCCAGAAATGACAAACGACAGGGAGGACCCGCGTGTCGGCCGAGACAAGCGGGAGGAGAGCGACGGGGTGGCGTGAAGTCACCGACACGCGATTTCTCCGGCTGACGAGGAGAGTACCTTCGTGGACCATCCACGACCTCCCCTGCTGTTGATTGGTGCCCCAATCACTCTTCTACCGGTCCCTAGGTATCGCCATGGCCATGACGCGCACGGCGGCTCCCGTGAACCCGGCGCTAGGGTACCCGTGCAAAGCGCGCGATCGCCTTCCGAGACCAAGGCGGACTGTCTGTTTCTTTGCTATCGCTTAATGGCCGTGGTGAAGTCTTGCGCGTGTAGCCATGTGATGTCACCGGGCGGCGACCATGGCGCTGGTGGTGCGCGGGCGTGTTCCGCCTTCGCCCAGTAATGGCTTCGTCGCAGTAACGCTCATAACTAGAGCAAATACGACTAGTAGAGAAGATGAAACGAAGGCTAGGGAAGTAGAGGGCGGTGCGGAGTCGCGGCCGGCTTACGATGACCGCAGAACTCCCGCGAGTAGGCCATGACTACGGCGTGGAAAATCGGGCCAAGGTCCTCACCTACAACCACGATTGGCTCAAGCTAGAAGGTGGGGAAGGTCCAGACGAACACGACGGAGCTATGGTGAAGGCGTGGTCGGGTAGATGCAGCGGTGAGCAAGCTCTGCGACGGCGAGCTATGGCGGAGTGGTCGCTGCTTGCTTGCAAAGATGGCATGGCGGAGAAATGAAAAGGATGGCGAGGGCGTCGGCGGCGGTGGGTAGGTTCAGGCTGCTGCGACGACGCCTCGAGGAGGCGCTGGCGCGTGGCTGCGGTCAGCCCGACGCCGACCGCCACAAGACACGCCTGCAGCGTCCGGCGTTCAAAACGCAACCAATCTGTAGCTTCCATTCAACCGGGGTGAGCAACTGACAGCATGACTTCCTCGTGGTAAACTGGCTAATCCGTTGTTTGTTTACAAAAAAGTTGTTCATGAAAATGTAGACCAAACATCCATCTGCAATTTACTTTCAAGAACCATCACCTAATTCGCCATGGATCGGAAGTTTAACAAGCCAAAGATGAAGCTCGATCACACCGAAATGACATCAATGACTTAGCAAGATTTTTTTCGGTGTTGATTAGCATGAAATTCTGACTTGTGGGCCATGTTTGACCATGTTCTAGACATTTTCATGAGTTGACCATAAAACAACTTTTTGTTCCTTGATAAATTAGCTACAACTTTTGTAAAGAGTGCACAACCATGCAAAGCTTCTAAGTTGGACTTTTAGAATCAGTCAAACGATGACACCCTCAAGGGTCAATTCAAGTCAAAATCGCACTTGAGGGCATTTTGGTCATTTTGATCTACATGAACAATGTTCCAACAAGTAAACTAAGTATAGTTAAGGTGTATTAGACCATGATCAACCATTTTACAAAGTTGTTATACCTCTTCTACTGATCACATGTGATAAAGAAAGTAAAACAAGCAATTCATACATATGTTTCAATACAATGTTCCACATGTTGCGCGACCTTGTTGTTATACTATACTTGTCACACTACTACCCTGTTGCCATGCTTCAAGACATGGGAAATTCATGTTTCATTGTTATGTTGCACTACTACCATTCACAAACAATCTAGTACGAAACAAAATGTAATATGCGAATGTTTCATATGTATGTTTCAGGAAAATGACATGATGAGATAAATGATGCACATGTTTATGAGACGAATTGCAATAAGCAGAAGCCAAACACCGAGGGTGTTACAATCGCACACGTACACGACGGAGGTCCGCGTTGGCTAAGCAGCGGCCCACGCGACGATGGCGGAGGTTCGGGACGACCACGATGGACGCCCACGCTGCTGGGCAGAAGCGACAGCTGCGGCCAAGCAACCTTCCCGCATGGCCATGGAGGTGGAGGGACTGAGCGCCACCATGGGGGTAGAGCGGCCAAGTAGGCGTCGCGCGTCATGGGCTCGGAGGCGGGTGACGCGGGCATAGGGGCGGGCGACGCGGCCAAGCACACGCCTCGCGCGGCCAAGCAAGCACCCCGTGATGCATTGGTGGTGGGCGACGCGATCTTGTTGCCACGCGGCGTGGCCTCGAGGAGGACGACACGGCCACGCAAGCGCCCACTTCACGCCATGGAGATCGGGCGTCGCGGCCACAAATGGAAAGCAGCACATCCAGAGATAGCACCAACTCCCCGCGAGGGTGAGTTTATTATCTCTATGTCACGGACTGCCTATTCTCCATGTTTGGCTTCTATTTTTTACGCGAGGGATTGTGTCTTGGGATTCAGGGAGGTAGACGACGGCGGGACGACTAGATTACGTGGACTGTAGAAAACTATTGGACTCCAGCTTAGGCCTATTGGGCCACGTCTGAGGCCAATGAAAGCTAAACCATTATTGGTCTTTAGGCTTTGGCAATGATTCTCCCTTTCCCTTGTGTCAATTCAAGTGTTCAAAATCTAAATTTGATTCTCCTATAGGTCAGTAGTAGTGAAATTGATCCACAAACAAATTGATGTTCGAATGTTTGATACAATACTTTTTTATTGATAGTTGTGGGGCTAAGAGGTACTCTATATGAATTTAACACGACTCTAAATGTCTTATGATATTGTGACATGGTATACTAGTATAAATATATTATTTTGCTATTACGTATTTCCTATAACATTACACCACTTTGCAAAAATTAGTAGTACAAAGTTCGCCATAGGTTGAAGAAGTTCTCATGCATGACATTATTGTGCTTTCACAGGATGGATGTAGCTACTAATTTTCTATTAAAATTCATTTGCTTGGCAATCGCAAAAAGGCTAGAAAAGGATGTCAAATGTTTTAGTTTTGAGATGGTTGTTGACTCGGATCCGTCAATTATAAGGATTTCATTGACTCGATTCTGTAGAAGTACCCTCCGGGCTACTTAGAAATTCCACATGTTCAAAGTGATTATGACAATGTTCTTAAGAATTTTCCAAAGAGTAAAATCGATCAGATTTGATGTACACAAAGAGGAGAAAGTTGTAGAGATGTTTGTCGCTTATTGTGATCCCTCAGAAAAATTTGAGCCTATCACTAAGTGGGAGTTTGATGTTGAAGGGCAGCCTGCAAACAATATAGAGGAGGATGACGATGATTACCTTAGAAATCCTTTACCAGAGAATGAACATGTTGGTGTTGATGAGGAGATCATGTACTTGGACATTGTACCTATGAATGTTGTAGATGTGCCTGGATGTTCTGAAAAAGGGAAGGAAAAAGCAGTGGTTGAGGATGGCTCAGAGGATGAGTCTGAGGATGGCTCAGAGGAGGAGTTTGAGGATGAGGATGAATTAGAGGCTGATGAGGATGAGCCATATAAAGAAGTAAATCGTCACCCAATTGCTGATTTCGATGAAGAAGATCCTCCTATGGAAGTAGGCACTACTTATCATAACATGTACGTGTTCAAGTTGGCTCTTTGTCAACATGCAATCAAACATGAGTTTGAATTCAACACAGAGAAAAGCTCAAAAAGTAGGTTCAGAGCCTATTGTTCAAGGAAAGTGGAGGATAATTGTCCATGGAGGCTACATGCATCTACCACGGCGGACAAATGTACTGTTATGGTAAGAATAATTTTTTTAGTTGCTACTACATGTAGTATGACAATGTTATGTTTTACTAACTAGCTATCTTGAATGTGTTTGTAGGTGAAGAAGAATAACTTTGCTCATGATTGTTCTAGCACTAGAAGGAAGAAGAGAATAAAGCATGCTACCAAACATTGGATATGTTGGAAGGTGAAGGACTTTCTGATAGAAGATGCTACTTTAGGAGCAACGGCATTGCAAAAGAAAATTAAAGAACACCACAAGGTGAGCATCAACTACCAGAGGGTATATCAGGGTCAACAACTAGCAATGAAACAACTTTATGGTGATTGGGATGGCAGTTTTAATAATTTGTTTAGTTTTAAAGCACAAGTTGAGAGCTCTTGTCCTGGTAGCAAAGTAATTATTGACCATTACATAGTAAATGGGGAATTTAGATTTAGGAGATTCTTTTTTGCCATGAAACCTTGCATAGATGGGTTCCTTAATGGTTGTAGACCTTACTTGGCAATAGATAGCACCTTCCTAACAGGCAAGTTCAAGGGGCAATTGGCTAGTGCTTGCAGCTTGATGGACATAGTTGGTTGTATCCTGCTTGTGTTGGAGTTTTGATTCCAAACTAATGACAATTGGATCTGGTTCATGAGTAGGCTTAGAGAGGCTATTGGGTCACCTCCAGTGTTTGGCAATAAGCACCTTTGATGTAGGCCAGGCAATCATGGGAGTCAAGTGCTGAAGTATTTCCACAAGTAGAGCATAGAGAGTGCATGTTTCACTTGGTGACTAATTTCAAAAGGAGGTACCGTGGGAAGGTGTTTGATGATCACCTCTGGGCGCAAAAGCTACTCATGGAACCCATACTTGTTTAAGAAGCATTGAGCTAAGATGGAGAAAGCAAAGCTCGCTGCAACTAATTACCTAAGACGACACAAGAAGTTGTGGACTAGAAGTCAATTCAAAACAATTTGTAAAGTGGGCTATGTGACCAATAACTTGACTGAGAGCTTCAACAATTGGATTAGCGCAAAGACAAGTCCATGAATTTGGATGATTTGATGGATAAGATCAGACAATTAATTATGATCAAGTGGAACCAAAGGAGAAAAATTAGAAAGAAATTAGATGGCTTCATTCTTCCCCACATAATTAAGAAGCTAAATGAACAGAGTAGAGAATTGAACTTGGATGTATCGTAATTCCCAAGAGGTGGCTTTAAATTACCTTATTTGGTGGCAGCTGACTTTAGATTTGTGGTGAACTTGGTTGATCGAACATGTTCTTGCGCATAATGGCAAGTCTCTCGGCATTCCTTACAAACATGGCCTTGCATTCATTACAAAGACTACCTAATGCACCTATTATCAAATATGTTGACTTCTACTACTCCATTGAGAAATTTAGAGGAGCCTATAGTGCATTAATTCCTCGCTATTCCTCGACAAGACACAAAGGGCCTAAATCTATCCATGGCTTCTTCATGTATGGACCACTACTAATGTCTCAGAATGGGTAGGCATAAAACCGAGAGACACAAAGGTCAGAGTGACAAGAAGGGTAAAAAGGGCAGCACCAATGTCCTATCTCGTAAGAATATGGGCATCACTGGCACAATCTGCAGGGAAGGGCAAGAAAGAAGATATTGAAGCAATGAAAACTCTTAGGTACATTTCATCTTCTATGCATATTTTTTAATTAGATCATATTCTTTACTATCTATTTGCTTATGTAGAGGAACACCGAAAAAGAGGAAGAAGGTTACCAAATCATCAGAGAGTTCCATTGTGCCAATGGAGGATGAAGCACCAACACGTTTCTATGACTTTTCCACCAAGGTTAGCTCAATTTTCACTTTCTCTATTTAGATTCTAATTCATGGCGTCCTCATCCTAGTACTTTCAATATTACTCTAGTCAAAACTTGGAACCCGAACCCACAACTAGTAAGAAGAGAAAGGGTGTCCTTTAATTCTAGACCAACAGAAGGTAATTAATAAAAACTTGAATAAATATTCTACTAATAGAAAGCTAATGGTGACTTCTAAGTACCAAACTCTTTTTTTTATAGTATAAGCTCGGAGATTACAAGTAGGAAAAGGAAAGCGGGGTTCCTCTAACTCTGGAGCATCAAAAGGTGGCCTATACTAAATTTGAATTTATTTTGCATGGTTAGTTTGTTAATTTTGCAAGCGCTTCTATCTAACAAGAAATTCCCATGGTCAACTTTATATGCTTGCATTTTCCACCCCTTCTATATGAAATGTATATCCAATATATTTATAAGTTCTTTATTACCGAAATGTATATCAAATATATCTCAAATAATGTTTTCATACACATGAACGTAGAGTAGGTCCGTATGGTTCAAATCAACCTGAACCACTTTCAATTGAGCTTCCCTCATCCAAAGATAAACCACAAGATGTTGTTGTCGAAAGTTAAAAGGCAAAAGGAGGAAGAAAGAAGTAGATAAAAATGCTACAAAGAATCTTTTGTTGCAAATTTTGATAGCCCTCGCAATGGGCACGAGGAGGAAAGACTTCACCTAGTAGTCCCAAGACCGAGCACAAGAAACAAAAAAGAAGGCCGAGTTTGTGATTCTTGTATGAGAAAATTTCCTAAATGTGTATTGTGTTAGATGTCCAGAAATGGATGCAATCCTGTGAAAAATGTTTTTGTGCATGTGAACCTGAATGTATCTCGACTATTATTGTGATCATGGATGCTAAATATTGTATTTATCTTAAACATGTGAGTTTTCTAAAATAAATGTGCTATTGTTCCGCTGCATGTCATTTTCAAATTGGATGTTGTTGGAGACCTATTTTATTGTTGTTATTAATGTATCTAAATAATTAATTTCAAACTGAATATAATTATACGTAATTATATAAGATGATGTTTGATCCTTTATTTATTTAACACAAGCAAAAAACCAAAACATTGCGCTTTAAGATAAAAACATTCATAAAAGATAGCAATATTAACCATGGAATGCCGTGACTAGTAAAAACTCTAGGGGTAAAACGGACTTTTCACATAGGGCTTGACACCATTAACAATCCAAACTCATTTCGGAAGTGTCAAATAGGAAAGAAAAACTCGAGTTCGTAACATATAGGAAAGATTTTCAGTTTCGATGTCAAATAAGAAAGGAGCATTATTTTAGAGCTAAATACAAAATTTTCTCCTTAAAAATTGTAAAGCTATTGTAGCAGTAATTGGCAGTTGAGCTTTGAAGACGTGCAAGTGCGAACGGTGGGAAGACATTTTATCGGAGTTGTGGGTCTCACGTACTAAGCAGCACCGGTTCCATCTATTTTACACACTGCAGCTTAACTTATGTGGTGCTCGATTTGCTGTAACTGGTCCCACATATTTTCTGGCTTTACTACCATATATTGTGGACGACCTTAGCACCTCCCAAGCAAGCTGCCACCCGATCGACGAAGTGCAGCGTGGCGCATGCAGGCTTTATTTCATTATATTGTTCACTGTATCACGCAAGCCTTGAACAGCGATGCAGCGTGATTCATATCAACGTCTCATTCTCTCCGTTACCGATCGCAATCGCATCGCGTCAATGGGGGAATCGGGATCTAGTCTTGTTGGGCGCGAATTCGCGCATTGGCCAGTCAAAATTAAGCAGCAAATCGGAGCATGCCCATGTGGCCAAGCCATAATAAACCATCCGTCCCTAACCACGCGCTCCATGCGCGCGCGTCAAGGTCTGCGGATTTCAGAGAGCACGGTGCGCTGCAACTGGCAACAAGCTGGCCGTGCTTGCTCGAGTTCGAGTATAAATAGGTCACTTTCCAAGCAACTGCCCACTCAACGAAGTCACATGCCACTGTGCTCCACTAGTAGAGCTTAGAGGTGCCAGCCAGTCTTCCCCGAGGCGAGCCGCGAGCGCGAGGTCATGGGGTCACTGACGACGGCGGCGGAGGGCAGCGGCCGCACGCCGTGTGCATGCCGTACCCGGCGCAGGGCCACGTGACGCCCATGCTGAAGCTCGCCAAGCTCCTCCACGCGCGTGGCTTCGAGGTCACCTTCGTCAACACCGAGTTCAACCACCGGCGACTGCTCCACTCGCGCGGCGCGCTGGACCGCGTGCCCGGGTTCCGCTTCGACGCCATCCCGGACGGCCTCCCGCCCTCCGACGCGGACGCCACGCAGGACATCCCCGCGCTCTGCTACTCCACCATGACCACCTGCCTCCCGCACCTCCTCGCGCTCCTCGCCAGGGTCGACGCCGACGCCGGGTCTCCGCCGGTCACATGCCTCGTCACGGACGCCGTCATGTCGTTCGGCTTCGACGCCGCCAGGGAGTTCGGCGTGCCCGTCGCCGCGCTCTGGACCGCCAGCGCGTGCGGGTTCATGGGCTACCGGAACTACAGGAACCTCATCGACTGGGGCCTCGTGCCGTTCCAGAACGCCGCGGACCTCGACGACGTCGTCGAGGGAGGTCACCTCGCCACCGTGGTGACCGGCGCGCGCGGCATGTGCGACGGCGTGCAGCTGCGCGATTTCCCCAGCTTCGTCCGCACCACGGACCGCGCCGACATCATGCTCAACTTCCTCATGCGCGAGGCCGAGCGGCTGTCGCCTCCCCGACGGCGTCATCGTCAACACCTTCGACGACCTCGAGGGCGCCACGCTGGACGCCATGCGCGCGATCCTCCCGACGGTGTACCCCGTCGGCCCGCTCCTCCTCCGCGAGCGCCTGGAGGTCCCCGCCGGCAGCCCGCTCGCGGGCCTCGGCTCCAACCTCTGGAAGGAGCAGGAGGGCCTCCTGGAGTGGCTCGCTGGCCGCGCGCCGCGGTCCGTGGTGTACGTGAACTACGGCAGCATCACGGTGATGACCAACCCGCAGCTGCTCGAGTTCGCGTGGGGCCTGGCCAACAGCGGGTACCCGTTCGTGTGGAACATCCGGCCGGACCTGGTGAAGGGCGACTCCGCCGTGCTGCCGCCGGGGTTCGCGTCCGCCGTCGAGGGCCGCGCGCTGCTGACGACGTGGTGCCCGCAGGAGGCGGTGCTCCAGCACGAGGCGGTCGGGGTGTTCCTGACTCACCCGGCTGGAACTCGACCCTAGAGAGCCTCTGCGCGGGGGTGCCCATGCTCAGCTGGCCCTTCTTCGCGGAGCAGCAGACCAACTGCCGGTACAAGCGGACGGAGTGGGGAGTCGGGATGGAGATCGGCGGAGAGGTGCGGCGCGACGAGGTGTCGGCCATCTTAAAGGAGGCCATGGACGGGAGAAGGGCGGGAGATGCGCCGGCGCGCGGAGGAGTGGAAGGAGAAGGCCGTGAAGGTGACGCTGCCGGGTGGGCCTGCGCAGTCCAACCTTGAAAGGCTCATCGACGAGGTGCTGCTCTCCAAGGAGGGACAGACTGCCGACGTGTGATTGTGGGCATATATCTTGTTTGGCGTCTTCACTCTTGCCGGGAATATTTCATCATGCATTTCCCCCTCACTTTGTTCTGTTCTGTGTGAGCTCTGAGCAATTAATTACTACTCAACATTCAGCTCTCAAACAAACCCCAGCTCTCCACTGAAAGGTTGTAATATTTTTCTCATACTTTTTTTTTACTAGTTTCAGTATGGGGTGTATCAAAAAATTGGCAACATTGGGCCATGGAGGAATGGAGAGTGAGAGCAATTAATAAGCCTTCAAAGCTTCAAGGCGGGGAGGAAAGACCTTATATCATGATTAATAAAGCAGTCAATTGAACTTCCAATTCAACAATAACTTGAGTTTGTTTTAGTATAATCTTCCTATCAAAATCATGACCAAGTTGACTTGCACCTTGCGTTTGCTTTACATATCCATTGTATGATCAACCCCCTTAGCTACATACCTAAATACATCTCTCTTACTACGTGGACAGATTGTTGTCTAATCACAAATCGCTAGAATCAATGTGGACCAAAAAAACGTAACTCCGATTGACCTCAACTTTTCGCACAACAAAAGTAGATAAAATTCTTGAAGTAATCCAACTAGTATCACGTCATTGGGATGTCTAGGTTAGGATGTATTAATTCTGCAGGATTTTACTATCTCAAATGGTGACGAAATTATTTGAGCATGTTTTTTAGATTATAAGCAAAAACTATGAACTGTAAATGAGGTCAAGGGATAAGCTTCTGTTGTACTACGATTTATAGTTGACTAACGCATGTATGTCTACAGAATTAGAACAGTGCAGCAACAATTGAACTAATGGATATAATGGATGAACTTGTCACTGATGGAGTGCTCTTGAAAAGATCAGTGAAAGAAAGATCAATGAAACAGAGACTAAACTGGACGGCTATGAAATAAATCGATGGCACATCATGCATGCATGCACGTACTCCACATTTGCAGAGGAGCTGTTGCCGGCTGCAGGTGAAACATTCAGAACCTAAGGCAATTACTTGCTGCTAGTTTCTCCCTGGGCTGCTGAAAAGGGATTTGACAGCGAGAAAAACAAGCAGCAACTGCATGATTTGAGAGTCAACAGCCGTCGTCGAACTAGTCGAGCTTTATCATACCACATTGGGCCTAACCAAAAGCACCAGTGACAGAGTTTCAAAAAAAAAAGGCACCAGTGACAGAGCTAATTTTTTTAAAAGTCAAGAGTGATTCCCATCATACAAAAATATTTATCTAGAAAATACAATATTTCTTTTTTTATACAAAGAAAATTCTTATTTGCACTCACTCAAATAATGGTGAGCGCTTCATTTAATTAGATGAGATGGTTATATAATGATCATCTATTACCTCCTAACAGATAATAGGTGACATATTTATTTATTT